ACATCACATCACATAGACCAATCGCATTCACACATTCACATTGCAGTACCCATTTTTACTGCTTTATGGAGAGAGACGAACAGACAAAGGACACAAGCTACTCTCTAATTTACACAGGGAGGGGTCGATCCCCCAGCTTGGATGGATTGATTGCACGATACTATAAGATAATCTTCAAGAGATATCCAAGTATCATTTTTGTTTGGTATGCTTTAATAGAAAGTTGTTTTTATTTTGGCTATAATTTTCAGCTCTTGCACTCAAGAACGTTGACTATGAATATAGAGCGGTTAACCTACTTAAAGGAGAACAGGTAAGACTCTTAACCTGAGTAACAGGGCAGGGGTATAGCTAACTACTGTCAGCCGTAACATTGGCACTGTTTCAATCCTTTTTGCTCAGGGTTTAATTTAAAGTAGAGTCAAGTCTTCTCAGATGAAAGACTTACAAACAGAGGTCCAGCGTACACATCTGGCGAGTATACACTTTAAAGAGCCCATTATAATTTTTGGAAAAGTGGGAGGGGGTGGCTAGGCCAACTCTGGTTATTTTAGTCTCATGTAATTTGCATAATAAATTGAACATGATGCCACTTATTTCCTCTTTATGTCGGGTCGGGTAATCATGGACCACGCCCATATGTAATTCACCAGAGTAACGTTACAATCGGTACTCTACATTTTCCTTTTTTTTTAAATTTCCTTTAATAATTTTTTTAAATTTGAATTGGTATCTCCATAAAACAATTTATTAAGGGCTTTCCATATATACTTCCAAGTTTTATATTACAAATATCAGTAGTTTGCCCATATATGGCTGTAATATGACATTGTTACACCCATGTCACACACATTTTCCACATATAAAAGTTTGATAATGTGGATAGACTATTTGTACATGATTAAAGTACCAATTTCAATATTTAATATAAAATGGATTAATTATTCGTGAATTGTAGATAATACTATGATGATATTTATATTATACCAGTGTAAACATGTTAAAAATTGCTTTTTCTTAGTTTCAAGAAAAGCCAGTATGTACAGTGTTTATATTACACTGGTGAGAGATATACTGTACAAAAACCAATTAATTGCTTACCAGCCAAATTAATTGTCTACCTGCAAGTATTAGAAACTCTATTATTTATGTGTTTGCTACTTGTCAAGGAAAATATTTATCATTCTAAATTTCATTTCAATGCTAATAATTTAGCCAACAGTGGTGTATCTGGGAGTCTTGGAATTAAGGGATGTGGGGGGGGGGGGGAGATGATGGGGTGCAGAAATGGAGTGGTGGGATTCGATGATTGAGGAAAGGAGTGCAAAGTTGCAAAATAAGGTGATATGAGAGGATTTTTAACTACTTAAGCATGATATTTTTTTGGTATGGACATTTTCAGTGTGGGTGGTGGGGAGATGGGTGACTGCGGGTGCAAGCTTTTTTAGGGAGCATGTGCTCCCCTGCAACCCCAGGATATGCCACTTCTACTTAACAAACTAAGCAAGTCAATGTCTAGTTTTATTTTTAAATTGTTTTGAATATAAATGATGGTATATCCTGAAGAATTAAAGTAGGTATTTGTAATTTTTATTTATGGTTCTTAGCTCTCAGATGAACACAGAGAACTGAATCCATCTGGCCAAGTACCAGCTCTATTAATCGATGGATTGACACTTGCACAGTCTGTAAGTTATATTATATTTTGTATTTAGAAAGCCCTAAATTCCTAATAATGGTTTATTTAAGATGTTTCTTGTGTAAAATTATAGGAGACATTATTTTCGTAACAGCTAAAGTCTGGTTTTCATACTTCTAAGCCGGGCACTCAGTATGACCTATGGAGGACAAGACACCAAGACATGCGCACAATGAATCATGTTTAATGAATGTTTAATTTCCTGTTCCATCTTTAAACTTTCTTTTGCCCTTTTAGCTGCTGAGTGCATGATTTGTTTTTTAGTGTGTGCACATGTTAAACACTGCAAGGGGTCTATAGAGTACCACAGTCGTGTCGTCACGATGCCAGGTGGCGCCCTCTGTTATCAACACATGTTGGTTACCGTCCGCCTGAATGACTTATAGGCTTCTGGAATAGGCATTTTAAAATCTAATATTTTACCATCAAAATGTACTAAAAACACAAAAGCTTGCATTATATTAGTTATCGAACACACATTTATTCATCAATTAAAATTTACAAAAAAGAAGTAAGAATAAAGATACAACATCTTAATAATTACATTAGAAATTGGGATCAATGGTTTGTCAGTGGAGAAAATGGCGTCCTGTTGAACGCTTTTTGCAATGATAGGAACGGAGTAGTATCACGTGGTATCGTGATGTAACATTGTAGTACTCTATAGCAAAATTAGCAGTTAGTTTTTAAGCAGATTTGCACTGCAAGAACACCCTCATATTCTAATTAATATTAACATATTTGTTTTGTTTTAGATTGCGATAATAGAATACATTGAGGAGACACGCGAAGGAACACCTATTCTTCCTAAGGAGCCAAGCCAAAGAGCTGTGGTAAGTGAAGAAAATATATCCGTTGAAGGTGTGCTTTGAGAAATATTATACAGAGATCAATAAATGCTTGCAGGGTAGACCATGTGATGACATGGTAATGCAATCATCATGGTTCCGCTAAGGACCATTTAGGCTGTATAATATAATGTTTAAAAATGTGTCATCGGCTCTGGCAAAATTTGTTGGTAGAAATCAAAATTGCGTTTTTGTATTTTTTGCTGGTCACATAACAGAATGTCTCAAAACAAAACACCAATCATTTTCACAAGTTTTTATTTTTTTTTATAATTTTATACCGCCATGATAATATGAATTGATTTGGTGTTGCTCATGGATAATTGAATAATACAATGATGTAGAGTACAGCCAAGGGTGGTGATAACTTTCTGTGACACATGGTTTAGCCGGCCCACCCGCCGGCACCACCCCTAATTTCAGGATAGGAGACTACTACTGTATTTGAAAAAGTTTGATCTTTTTCACTTGTAGGTACGACAAGTAACAGAGTCAATTACCTCGGGTATTCAACCGATACAGGTAGGTTTAACATATGTTTATTACATTTTCTCATTTCTTTCATTAGTTAATTTTCATGTTGCTCACTGATTCTTCATGTAGTTGAAATTTGCTGGTTTAACTGAAATATGATTTGCTTTATGGTCCCAAAAGATTAGCTCCACTGCCCGTGAGCCTGCTTATTCCCTGAACCTCAAAGGTAAAGTTTCAGGCTTTCAATCAAGAGGCTGTGGGTTTGAGACTGACGCAGATCACACACGGAAAGATAATTTATCTACGCTTGCCTCCATTCTATCTATCTTCTATCTTCAAATAAGTACATTCCTTTCTGATGTGAGGATCATCATACTTGTAGAGGCGTGGGCCAGCTCGTACAGTAACTTTCTTTTCCCCTAAGGGTCCCTTCGCATCTGAGCTACCCGGTGAACCGGTACCAGCTACTTTGTCTGTCCACAACAGGGGCTGTTTGGACTAGTACATGCATACAGTATTTATAATACATATAAATGGGTACCTAGTAGGTGAATGATTTGAAATGAAATCGATAGTGGTTTGGCGCAGCGGGAATGGTTTAGTTTCCCAACCTTGGGGCTTTAATCCCTTGCCATGCATTTTGCTTGTGTCCTTGACCAAGGCACTTTATCTGCTACCAAAACTTCCAGATGGTTTAAAGTCAGGCTCCGGAGGAAAAATAATTTTCTAAGACACAAAAAGTGTGTCTGACGAAAAACTCACTTAAATAAGGTGAAAGAAGGGTGGTTACATCCCTTTTTCCTCCCAGTTTTTAAATATTCAAAAATCTGTATCTCATTATTAATTCCATTGTGTCTTAGAAAAATTACTTTTACAATGTATTAAAAAAAATATATTTTCCCTGAAGCCTAGCTTTAAAGTAACACAATCACAGGAGTATCATTCATAAAGAACCATACATGCTGATAGAACGTGCTGGTTAAATCCTGCTTAGCCCCACTCTAAATCCACCTTAAATACATTCCACTCTGTAAATTTATATATTGAATAATTACCTCACTTTTCTTCATTTTGCATCTAGAATTTATCAGTACTGAAGTATGTGGGGAGTGAGAAGAAAATGGAATGGGGAAATTATCATATTGACCTAGGTTTCCAAGCATTAGAGAAGTTGCTTACACGAACTGCAGGGAAGTACTGCGTTGGTGATACAGTCACTATGGCTGACCTCTGTTTGGTACCTCAGGTCTACAATGCCAACAGGTAGGAATGAAAGATCAGAGGTTGAGGGGTAGAAGAAAGGGATTATAGGATGATTTGTAACTGGGTGGCTATGCTGTGATGTAGTTGACATGTAGCTCAGTAGTTAAGATGCTTGCCTTCTAATCCCATGGTCCTGGGTTCAAATCATGTGAGAGCACAGGATTTTATTTATTTTTTTTTTTACGACTAAAAACATCTCCACTCCCTAAGCCTGGTAGTGAGACTTACGCTAATATATCATCATATTATTTTATTTATTTACCCATAATTTCCAGCCAGTCTTCTGGGATAGGCTTGAAGGGTTATCCTGTATAAATATTGTTTCCAAAATAAAAAAAAATAAAAAATGGAGAAAAAAATAAAGAAGAGAATTGAATTGATGAAACTGTGAACAATTAACTTTCATACATTAAGCATATTAAATATATATCATATTTGTTTTTGTAGGTTTAAAGTGGATATGTCAAAATATCCAATCATATCAAGAATAGATACTTCGCTCAGTGAGTTAGATGAATTCAAGGCAGCTCATCCGAGCAAACAGCCAGACTGCCCCGAAGATTTGCGTTAACTACGTCATGTTGAATAGCCCATATGCATACATCAAGATGTGTTGCAGTCAGTTAATGACAATAAAGATGGGGGGAGGGGGTGGATGTGTGGTGAAAGATGGTGTAATCCCCTGTAGGCCACAAGTTGGGGGAGCATAACATAATAAACATGTTTTCTATTATTTAAAAAAAACATAATTCTTGTAATTTTCTGTTAGATGTCCAAAAGTTTTTCAGTATTTTCAGGAACCAGGGGACCACTCTAGCCTGGTGGACCCTATCAAGGCTCCACCCCAAAACTGTATTGTCCTTTGCCCCAAATTTTTAGAACACCTGTTTGTTGGACAGTTCTCCCATATCCCCTCCCCCTCCACTTTAGGCAAATTCAGGAGACATTGTGTTGCCATGGTATGGCCGAGCTGAAAGATCCATTTTGCTCACCAGTCAAAAAATTAAATATTCAGTAGCATACCCTGTTGAGTTTACTTATATGTGTGTACATAAATGTGCAGCACCGACTCCTTTTCATCCATGATACACTGTGTTTCAGAGTTACTGTACAAATGTTAAGCCGAGCACGGACTGTGCCTGACCGCACATGCAATGGATTGTTGTTAATGACTGTCTCCAACAACGATCAGACAGCATCTTGTGGTCTAACGCTCATAGGGAGTGGAGTTTTGATTCATCGGTCGACGGTCATACGACCGATGTAAGACGTACTGTTTCCCTGTCTTTAGGGTGTCCAAAAACTGGCACATTGGACTATTCCGCATGTTCTCTGTTTTATCATATTTAAATTTTTTCCATTAACGTAAAGTGAATTCTTAGTAGAATCATAGTCTTCCTACACTATTTATTATTCATCCCAGTTTACTGTACTTTGGTACACAGCTTCCCCAGTGCACTGGTGATATATGGTTTGAAGCCCTGTCCACACTATATAGTCATATATAGTGATGATGTGCCTATATACGGTCATGGTGTGCCTATATATGGTCATGGTGTGCCTATATATGGTCATGGTGTGCCTATATATGGTCATGGTGTGCCTATATATGGCCATGGTGTGCCTATATATGGTCATGGTGTGCCTATATATGGTCATGGTGTGCCTATATATGGACATGGTGTGCCTATATATGGCCATGGTGTGCCTATATATGGCCATGGTTTGCCTATATATGGCCATGGTGTGCCTATATATGGCCATGGTGTGCCTATATATGGTCATGGTGCGCCTATATTTGGTCATGATATGATGTCATCATGACCATATTTAGGCATGTCACATGTTTTTGTCAAATAAAATGTGATAGTCTGGAAACAGATCTTTAGTAATCTGGAATATAATGAAAGAAAATTAGTGCCTAGAGTTCAGGCTATCTGACGAAAATAATTTTAAAAGAAGTTGATTATTTTATTTTTCAATTGGACAAATCATTTTAAATTAATTATTCTACACATGAATCAATATATATAACTTACAGTCTGTGATTTAATTGGGTTTGTTTTTAGAAGACAATTTGAATAGGAATATTTTTAAATACCCTTTTTTAGCCTAGAAATATTATTTGCTGAAATGTTCAATGTTTTATAAACATTAAGTGTTTTTTTTTTTGCATCTTCATTTTGAACGATGAATATTTATGATATTTGGTTTATGTTGTCACATAATTGTGAATAAATATGGTTGTAAAAGTAATAATAAAATCTATTCATTTAAAGTATGAAATTTGATAGAAGATCAAATTATAGAGGTGCTTATTACTACAAAACCTCCCTTATGGTGAATGCTCTTACCTGAGCTGATATAGCACTTCACTGAACATAGCACCACCTCAGTACAATAGGCCTAGTAAGCTATGTTATTATAGCGTAGCTTATTACTCTAAGCACACAGAAAATTTGTGGAAGTGTTGATGTTGTCTACCCATGGAGCTAATAACTACATAATCCTACCTATAAGTGAGTAGGAGTATCGCAGGGTATATTTTAAATTTAATTTTTGGTTTAAAATTTGACATTCATTCAATAAATTATTGTAGATCTAAACCATTGTGTTCCCTTCATTTTTCCAGTGCAAAGCAACTATTTTTTTTATTTTATTTTTTTAGAAGCAGTTTGGCGCAGCTGGAACGGTTTGGTTTCCCAACCTCGAGGTCAGGGTTTCAATCCCTCGCTGTGCATTTCGCTTGTGTCCTTGAGCAAGACACTTTATCTGCATTGCTTCTCTCTACCCAGGAGTTATAAATGGGTACCTGGTGGGGTTGCCTGCTCCTGCGCTGATTACCAGCAGCAACACTTGTGGACCCAATGACCAGGGAAAAAGCGCTTTGTAACATAAAAAGAAAGGCGCTATACAAGAAACAAATAAATTATTATTCAAACGTTTAACAGATGGGATGAAAAGATGTTATATATGTATCCTGCAGCTACTGCATGTGCACTGCTTACTGATGTACTGTACTTTAAATTATTAACTAGCATTGGTAAAAAATTATTTTCTGTCTTTTGTTTCTTGATACCGACGCTTTCGATTCGCGCGAATAAATTCGCCTAGTGTAAAACCGGCTTTAATCGATTTTACTTCGTCAGTTTTTCGGCATTGAGCATTTGCATGAGCACTTTATTATGAACTAAGAATTTTTTAAAAAGGGGGTTGGGGGAAACAGCAAACATTAGCATTCTTGCACTTAATTGGTAGATTGTTGAGCGTCTGAGTTGACCATTAATAGAGGCACGATTTTAGATTGGTTCATTGAGACTCCAGTTTGACAATGGATTTTTTATCGCTCTACTGTTTGAAAGCTTGGACTTGAAGGTGTCATACAATTGTAATCTTGTGTTTCTTTGAACTAATTAAAGAGCCACCAGACACAATTATTGTACTGTAAAGATGTCTTGTTTCAGTCTACTTCACGTCAGGTCAGCCAACGGGAAAGCAGTAATTTATTAATGAATACCGTAGGCCACCAAGGTAAAATAGATACACTAGCAATCCCATTCCCCTAAACACACATGATTTAGGCATATTTATTTTTTTTTAAATGTCTTTTTGGAGATCCCGTCTTCGTGTGCCTGTAAAAGCCTCCCCATGGGCCACCTTAATAAATAGAGCAGCACTTAAAATACGCCATCTATCTAGCGTGCTATTCCCAGGGGCTGTGAGTCTTGACGAAGAGAAAGTATTTACTAATTTGATATATTAATTTGTCGGAAAACAAAATAGGCTAAATTTTACAAATTACAATTTTATAAATTACCAAGTCAAAAAGTAGGCCTATTAAATATTTATGTAGTAATTGCAATTATAAATAAATTTACAACATTTTTAATTCTAATTATCTATTATTTTTACCTTTTTCCCTTTTCTCTCGTTTATATTGTCTATTCTCTACTTGTTTCTTTCCTTTCACTACTATACTATTGTCCTTTCTTTTTCTTCTGGGCTTTTTCAGCCTTTCGTTTCATGTATATATACTTTCTTTCTATGCACTTCTATTCCTTTCTTTCCTTCAGTTCTTTTTCTATCATTCATTTTCAATCTTTCGTTTTCTTTCTTACTCTTTTTCAATCTGTCGTTTTATTCTATTTCCATCTTTCGTTTTCTTTCTATGTAGTTTCTTTCTATTGCTTTCTTTTACTTCAGCTGTTTGTCTTTCTTATTTCAGTTCAATCTTCATGGTTTGTTGATTTAAACTTGCGATAGGTACAAGTTGTTTAGTAGATTTAGGTTTCTTAAGATTTAATGTACAATGTATAGCTCCATGATATGTAGGCATAGGACATTAACTGATTTGACAATGTTGTCGGTAGAATGCGCCATAACTAAATCTAAGGTACAAGTGTGGCCGTTTATGTGAGTGGGTTCTATTTCAAATTCCTCTATCCGCCACTGGATCATATATCTGCATTATTAACTGTATCGCCTATTTATAATTATATTCGTGATCCAAACAAAAAATTAAGTAAATATATTAGATACACACAAATAAAATGTAACTGAAATGTTTGTATACAAAATAAAAAAAAAATTGCACTTTATTGTCTAGCAAACGACATAGGTAATAT